GTGTACAGGCCTCTTTGGTCGGTTATCGTGGCCTGGTTCCTGCTACAACACACTGATTTAGGATTCAGGGGTTCAGGGTTTAGGGTTTAGGGTTTAGGGTTTAGGGTTTAGGGTTTAGGGTTCAGGGTCTAGGGGTTGAGGGGGTTAGGGTTTAGGGTCTAGGGTTTAGGGGTTAGGGGGTTAGGGGGTTAGGGTTTAGGGTCTAGGGTTTAGGGGTTTAGGGTTTAGGGGGTTTGGGATTAGAGGAACCCTCAGCGGATAGGAACTCCCCTCCCCCTTCCCGCGGGTCAGGTTGTAGCCGGGAGCGCAAACGTCGCACATCATGCTCCTAAGTCGGTTTAAGGCTTCGGGTTTAGGGTTTAGGATTTAGGAGTCTATGTCTGCTTAGAGTTGGGTTTTTTTCAGCACTGTTAACACTGACCGGGTTTTCGTGATGCCACATACATTACACTTAAGTCCACTGGGCGCCACCATTTCCTTCAAGAACACGATGGTTATCGTGATGGCAAGCAGCGGCAAGCAGTCACGAGGATGACGCTGAACAAAAGATCAACATTGATTCGCCTAAACCCTACACCCTAAACGGCCCTGAACCCTAAACCCGAAACCCTAAACCCTAAACCCTAAACCCTAAACCCTGAAACCTTAAAGCCTTACAAAACTCAGCTCCGGCATCCTCGTCACGACTGTCGTAGCTCGTAAAAAGCCTGAAGCCTTCACTTTCAAGTTGAGAACCCGGAGAGATGAGAGAGTTTAGGGTTTAGGGTTTAGGGTTTAGGGTTTAGGGTTTAGGGTTTAGGGTTTAGAGTTTAGGGTTTAGGTTGGAGCTGAAGTTTTTTGCGGCTAGTGCCATCATCATCAAACGGTTAGTTCTCTAAAGTAAGGTCCCTTTTTAGGTCCCAACGATAGCACGGCAAGCCTATAAGAAGGACTCAAAAAGGTTTCCGGGTTTAGGATTATCCCTCAATCCTAAATTTCCCCAAACCCCAAAACCCCAAATCCTAAGTCCTAAATCTCCCAGTTCAGGGCTTAGGGTTTAGAGTCCAGGGTTTAGGGTTTAGAGTTGGAGCTACTCCAAAGCCGCAGCCCGGAGCCTCCAGTATCTGTCGTCCAGGCCGCGACCGCTCCACCCCACCCCAAACCCCCCCCCGAACCTCTAAGCCTAGGGTTTAAGGTTTAGGGTTTAGGGTTTAGGGTTTAGGGTTTAAGGTTTAGGGTTTAGGCTTTAGGGTTCAGGGTTCAGGGTTAGGGCTTAGGGTTTAGATCGTTATGAACCCCATCCCTACTCCCAAAATCCGAGACCGCAATCTTCAATCCCTGAACCTGAAAGCCTAAAGATCCTTCGACCCACAACAATGAACCCCATGCCTCAATTGTCCGAAATTGAGGTGGGTTTAGGGTTTAGGGTTTAGAACTCAACAAGTTTACACGGCAACTTACAGCAAGAATCTTGGCAGACCTCGTAAAACCCTGCAAAAGCTTCCCTTCTAAACGCCAACAAGCCGCCCCGTTTTTCCCGACGCCAAAAAGCAGCCCTAAACCCTAAACCCTAAAACCCTAAAACCTTAAACCCTAAAACCTTACACCCCAAAACCCTAAATCCTACACCCTAAAACCCTACAACCGTAAACCCTAAACACACTTGTAAAGCTGCTAGGCATGCTCAGCGCCGGACAACGAACACATCCGGCAGTGCGGAGGGCAGAGGGGCGGCGGCGGTGACCTCGACTTCACGTGGAAGGGTTTGAGGGTTTGGGGTTTAGGGTTCAAGGTTTAGGGTTTAGGGTTTAGGGTTTTAGGGCTTTCGGGCCTTCGGGTTTAGGGTTTAGGGTTCAGCAGCTCCGGATCGAGCAGTTTTACAGTAAAGTTACATTCACAGTCGAGTCTAGACATAACACCCACCCACCTGGAATCCCATAACTTTGGAAAGTAAAAAGGTCGTTTCTTTTCACCGAGCTTCATTTATAGCTTGGGATTCCACACAACAATGATCTAAGATAGAACAGATCAGAGACCGTTGACGCCTTCGCTTCACGGACATCACACGTACGACGTCCTGATACCTCTAGCTCACTCGGGACTTGCTTCCGAACGAAGCCCGAAAATCGCCGTCGGCAGTCTTCCACAATCGAATTTGTCATAAACCATTCAAGCAGCTGCGCTAACTAAACCCTAAAAGTGGTGTCCGTACATCACCGTCGAAAGGCTTCCGCAATTGACTTCCTCATAAAGAAGCCAAAGTTTCTGTAGAAGCTAGACCCTCAAATCGTCGTCTGGTATAACATTACTGGTCAATGTACACCCAGACGAAACCTCGAAGCTCTAGCTCCATCCCACGCGACACCAGACACAACCGCCCACTGGAGATGTCCACTCCAATGACGCCACCGCTTAGCAGCCACAACTTCGGCAGTATCATGGCCTACGACAAAACCTGAAACCTCAGAAACTCTTGACACCTTTGCTTCACGGACATCACTGTTACAGCGTCCTGATACCTCTAGCCTCTAGCTCACTCGGGATTCCGAACGAAGCCCATCAATCGCCGTCGCACAATCGACTTTGTCAGAAACCAATCAAGTAGCTGCGGTAGCTAAACCCCAAAGTGGCGTCCGTTAGTCACCGTCAGTAGCCTGCCGACATCCTTATAAACAAGCCAAAATTTCTGCACAAGCTAAACCCTAAAAACGTCGTCTATTCGCTACCGTTCGTGGTCCTTCAAAATTGGATTTGTCTTAAACAAAGCACGTGGAGGGCCAATAATTCGTGGTTCAAGGCCGGCGGCCTACGCATAATAGGCCTTGAACCACGAATTCTTGGCCTTGAACCGGCCTTGAACCACGAACGATTTTGGCGTTGAACCACGAATTATGAGCCTTGAACCACGAATTATGAGCCTTGAACTACGAAGTCATTAAAATATAAATTACCATATGATAAAGAGGTTTAGGGTTCAGGCTTTAGGGTTTAGGGCTTTAAGGTTTAGGGTGTAGGGTTTGAGGGTTTCAAGGTTTTGCGGGCTTTCGGGCTCTCGGGCTTCGAGGATTGAAGGCTCAAGGACTGAGAATTTCAGGTTGCAGAGTTGCAAAGGGGGCGAGAAAATCCCTAATCCCTAAACCCTAAACCCCTAACCCCAAACCCTAAACCCCTAAATCCCTAAACCCCTAAACCCTAAACCCCTAAACCGCAAATCCCGCCATCTCCAGAAGTCTAAATTCCAACTGAAGAACCCATGTCGGTGGTCCAGGGCCCCGATACCCCTTCAAAGATGAAGCAGATCGTGACTCATCTAGGGTTTAGGGTTCAGGGTTTAGGGCTTTGGGCTTCGTATTCTAGCTTAGTCTTTGATGAGGAGGCATTGAGGTTCAGAAAGCAAGCAGGTTCAGACAGAAGTAGCGGACACAGGTCAGAACATGACATCCATCGCCTCTCCTAGAAGATGGCACTTTGCAGACCCTAAACCCTAAACCCTAGCCCTAAAGCCTAAACCATTTTGCAGACACCCCCACAGACCTCAAGCATCCCCAGTCTAAAACCCCAATCCGACGCGGACTCCTGGGCCTTAATACCTGAAACCCTACAGCCTAAACCCGAAACAGACTCGGGTTTAGGGTTTAGGGTTTAGGGATCACCGAATCCTAAACCCTGAGCTGGAAAGAGCCTGTAATAGCTACACCGAGCCAGGAAGAGGAGCGGGGGCATATAGCGCCGGCGGTCGTCGAAACTTCGGCGGCGGTCGTCCCACGGAGACGGGGATGGCGAGAAGCCTGGAAAAAGATCTGCTCATAAGGGCTTTAGGGTGTCGGGTTTGCTGCTTCAAGAGGACCTTGAGGGTGCACCCCAGCTTTGAAATGGAATCTACCCTAAACCCTAAACCCTAAACCCTAAACCCGGCTATGTATCCTATGTTGAGAAAGGATGTAGCTCTGGGAAGCCCCAAGAAACAGCCCCTGTCTCTGAAGAACGACGGGGGCAAAACACTGGGGGAATCGACACACGGCATGCCCAAAATGACCGAACCTTGATTTATAAAAGTTCCTCGATATAACTATAGTATCATGTACCAAAAAACCGATTCTGATTCTGATGCTTAAGTACACCCTAAACCCTAGTTGAGGCTTTAGGGTTTAGGGGTTTAGGGTTTAGGGATTTTGGGGTCTAGGGTTTAGGGGTTTATGCATGCAGTCACAGAGGCGCTTTGGACGAAAGTTTGGGCGAAGGGTTTAGGGTTTAGGGTTGAGGCAGCAAAACGCAAACCAAATGCGCAAGCGCCCTATGGACTGTGCCGGCGCAAGAGACATACATACGGTTGATGATATAAATCCTGCGCTAACCCCATAATGAGGAATCTACCATAACTCCCATAGTTTAG